GACCGAGCCGGGGTCGGGGTTTGGCGAGGGTGCTGCGCCCTTTGTTTGGCACGAAGGTCTCGGGTGAGCCCCAGACCTCGCCTCGGGAGTGGGCTGAAGGATGGTGCCCGGCGGGCTTACCCAGCCTGTGCGAATCCCGGGAACGGAGCGAGTCAGCGAGGCTAATAATCATCATAATAATAATAATAATCATAACAACATATGTCACTAACGCAGAAAGTGTCCGGAGCGCTTGTGGAAGCAGCAGATCTCTGGGAAAGCCACAGTTTCCTGGTTACGGAGTTAATACGTTTTCCAGCTTTGGGCGAACAAGAGGTGCGTTGAGCTCTTCGTCGGGTCACGTGGAAGAGGGAGCGCCGAAATCCGGGCCGTTCCTCTTTGCCGCTGAAGCGAAGCCCCCCCAGCCCCCTTTTTCTGCTGCCCGCCAGGAAAAGGAAGCGCTGATTCCGGAGACTGCTGGTCAGAGAAGCGCGGGAGCTGTGTTTTGCCCCCTGATTTGAGCCTTTTTCCCTGATTTCTCATCATTTGTTACCCTAAAGGGAGGTGCTGGGGACCAGGGCGTCTGGTTCAGCGCCGCTGCTGCCGTGCGTCTGCCTCCTCGCGCTTGTCTGTCCTGCTGCCTTGTAGCCTCTGCGCTTTTTCAAGTATGAAAGGGCCTTTTCTCCTTGGGAAAAGAAGTCAGTTTGCTTTCTAGGTGGGTGACAGAGGCAGGGCTGAGTTCCTGCCGGCCTGCGCCTTTCCCCTTGCGGGGCCGTGGGTAGTGCTGTCGCTGACAGGAGTCACGTCGTGGCGACGAAATGGCTTCCGTCGGGATTTATCAGCTTCTCTGGGGCCGAATGGTGATTGCCGCCGTTCTGGGCGAGCGGGAGGGGGAAGCCGCCGCGTCCCGGTCACGGTGTCACCCGCTGGCTGTCGCCTTTTGCTCAGCAAGGTTTGGAGACTCAGATATGGATTTTAAACTTTAGATGTGTGTGGTGAAGAGCCCCAACCTCCTCGTTCAAACAGCGTTAAACCCCTTGCTGTGTAAATTCCTACTTTGCAAGCAGCCTTGGCCAGCGAGCGATTGCCTGGTCGAGCCCTGGCAGAGCACCGGGTTCTGGGGAGGACGACGGCCACGGGCAGGGTGACCTCGGGCTGCCATCGAGGCACGGCACCCAGCCCTGGTGCTTGCAGCTTGCGACGATTCAGCCTCTGATATAGAACAGCCAAAGCTGGATAAACTGAGACAGCAATCGTAGCCAGGAGAGGGCAATTTTAAAGGCTAATCCCTCATGGCTTTCCAAGGCAGAAAAAAACACTTGAAGGGGCTGTAAAAACCTTTCCAGGACTAGTAGCTGTTTACAAGTGGTTCTTGGTCAATAGGTAGAGAAGAGCATGTGGGCAGTGGGTTGATGGAGGTTCTCCTTCCCCTCTACATTGCCCTGGTGAGGCCCCATCCGCAGTGCTGTGTCCAGTGCTGGGCTCCCCAGTTCAAGAAAGATGAGGAGCTACTGGAGAGAGTCCAGCGGAGGGCTACGAGGATGATGAGGGGACTGGAGCATCTCTCCT